CCCCAAAACCCCAAAACCCCAAAACCCCAAAACCCCTCTGAAATAATAATATATTGGAAATATGTACAAGAAGTAAGGACCTTGTAAGGGCAGGGGAGAAGGATTTTATAAGCCTAAACAGGATTTGGAAGGAATTAAAAGGGTCAAAACGGAAGTTTAGAGGCGTTTTAGAGGGATTTTGAGGTGTTTTAAGCGTTTTTGGGGGGTTGTTAAGGTGGGGTAGGGGGGTTTTGGGAGATAGAGGGGTCGTGATATGGAAATTAGGGAGGTTGAGGAGTTTTGAGGGGGTAGAGAAGGGGATGGAAGGGATTTTTAGTGTTTTAGATGCGCTTTTGGTGAAATTTTGGGATGAATGTAAAACTTTTTTAAGATTAGTTGTGAAAATATTGTAGGTGGCCAGTTAGGTGTGGAGAAGTTCGAGAAATTTATTTAGCTATACCTCTAATTTTTCCTTCAACAATAAATCATGCAAACAAGAGAAAATTAGACATAGGCCATAAATTATTTTCAAAATGTATCTTTTGATTAATATTTCTCATCTAGCAATAGCTTCTTGATATACCACCTTAGATTACTACAGGCATAGATGATATACTAATGAAGCTAAGCATTGATCTCTCCATGCTAATAGTCTATTTCCACTACAATATTCTATCTTTCCAAGTACTTTCTCTCATGAAATATGCAGTTTGCTCTTCAACCTTTACCATTTTTATTTATTAACATTTTTGAAAATATCAAGTAGATGCTATTAAAAGATAAGAGTTGGCGATACATCTTTGTTCGGTGTTTCTCATTGCAATAAAGTGTTTTGATTGGCTTCAAGAGAGGTTAGCTCGATGCCCTGAATATCCATGGTGCTTCTTTAGACACTTTTAATCAGTCTGTGGGTGTATATCTTTAAGCTTCGATCTCTTTCTCTTTAATTCCATAACTGTAAAATATTGGATAACCTTGCAAGCGAATTATTTCCCAAGCAGGCTAGTCTTAATAATTAGAGATTCGTAATTTCCCTGGAGTTAATTTATCAGCCTGTCTTGTTAGTAACAACTTATTGCTGGAAGCAAAGGTTCCCTTCCCCATAAGATTAATAAATTCTAGAATTAAATCACATTTCAGATGCTAAATTTTTTTGTACCCATAGAGACTAATCCTGGCTATGAATACTACTCTGAATATGTTTATCTATGCAAATTATTGATGTAGGAACTAGAGAGGAAATTTAATTACAAAGTAAGATATTGATTTATTATCTATGATCCTCAATCATCTCTGTTCCCAGCATCCTTTAATGTATCTCATGTAGTTTACTTTTGAACCCATAAGTTCTGATTACTACATAGACTTATCTTTTGTTAAAGGGTACAGGCTTCTCTCCTCAAAATCGAAAGTTTTATGCTAAGATTTTAGATATTAAGCTCATCTGAAGATGAAGGCGAAGTGATTAGCATAAATTAAAAATGTCTTCACTTCATTAATCTCCAAGAATTTAGACAATTTTTATGTAATTCCCTGAAGGTTGAAAGCTTAGATCGGACAAGCAATGGAGTCTTGCTACACCAAAACAACTTGCTTCAGAATTTATCGCTACTGAATCATCTCATTTATAAGCTAGAACTTAAAATCGTTAACCTAATGTTTCCAAAGTTTAATTATTTTTTGCAGAATGCAAATCAGGAAACACAGAAAACAGAGCGACCAACAAGAGTTCAATGTAGAAATACCCGCTCAGTTGCTTCCGGCTGTAAGTTTTGTTTGAGCGATTTTTGAAGGATTTGAACAGCATTTCTCAAAAGCTCATTAATGTTATATAGAAAGTCACCTATCTAGCAGCCAAGCAAAAGAAGAAAACAGGCAAATGGTCTGATAGAGAGCATGCCAGGTTTGTTAACTGTAAGTTTCCATTAAACCCTAGACCTTAAAATCTACGGAAAGAATTGGGAAAAACTTGAAGGATTGGTAATACAAGTGTTTACCTCTAGATTCCTACTAGAAACAGCCTCCAGATTAAGTCGCACTGCCAAAAATACTTGAATGATATCAAGAAAGAATTCAATACTGAAGATCCCATGGATTATTTCGTCAAGCACAATTGAAACGAGCCTTTGTTCAATGATTCTGATAAGTCTTCAGAGAAATTTAGAAAAGAGATTCCGAACTTAACTGACTGAGGTATTGTCAAGAAAGTGTCTACATGCATTCCTAACTTGATCCGCATGGCAAAGCCCATTGAAAGATCCCAAATACAAGAATTTCAGATGAAAAATAAGAAAAGATACCATAAATATCAAAGAAAGTGTCTAAAAGATTCAAGTAGCTCCGAATCTATTACGCCAGACTCTAATAAAAGTGCAAAAAGTCCAAACTATTATTGTGTGAGTTTGGCTACAATAAAGGAGAAAGCTCAGATATCGTCGAAGCCTCTCACAAGGACTGATGAAAATGCTGATAAGGTTCACCTTATCAAAAGAGCTTTTGAGCTAAATCATCGGAATTCTCCCAATAATTTATCTGCCATAAAACCCCACCAAGTCCATGAATTAGATGTGAGCCAGCATAACTTTGCCACGAAGAATGATAAAATAGAAATTAAGAGTCCTTGTTTTATATCTGTGGACCAAGATGACATCAGACACATAATTCCTTTGGATCTAGACAACCCTGTGCGTGTGCCATTTTATCAGGAACAATCTATCAACCTCAACCAAAATAACAGTAAGTTCAGAATTATTACCCCTAAACTATAGATTTAAGACAATTCTCTGGTACAACAGTCAATTCCCCAATATCACAGTGCTACCCATTCCATAACAACCAAACTCCACTAAATCTCAACACCAAAATGACCGAACAACGAATCAACATTGGCTGCTTAACCACAAACATCTCTCAACCCCACAACCTCATTCTTCCTCCCAAAAAATCCCCTCTCTCTTCCCCACCTCTCACAGCACTAAAATACTGAACCTGACCCAATTCCCCACTTAAAAATCTCAACTAACTAGTAATTTCAAGGGGTTTTGGGGTTTTGGGGTTTTGGGGTTTTGGGG